AGCCGGGAAGATTATAGAAAGCGTTTTCAGGCTGGCGCTGATCTTTATTCCAGGGGCTTTGTGATGATATTGATGATGATGATGGTCAAGTGGACAGTTTGATTTTTGTGTTTGGAGCTAGTTATAAAGAATCAATATTATATCAAGGGGTAACTTTCGTGATAAAGGACTTTAACCACTCTGGCTATTCATCATAAGTCTGTAGCAAGCAGATAGGTCAAAAGAAATTATATTGCACTAAAGAGTGAGTCTTCTTATCTCTCCCATACCAGGGGAATAAGGGACAAGCCGATCGATACAGTAGCTGCTGTATACTTCTTGCAATTATCAATAGCTGATTTCACCTTTTGAGGCCTGCATCTATTAATGCAAGCTAATAATAATCGTTTGAGCCTCCCTGTAGGCAAGGAGTCAAAGTTTTAACTTGCTCGCATTATTTATGTAATCATACATGCTGAAATGCCCCTCCTGGTCATTCGCTGCCCGAGCCACAGTTCAGCCATCAGGGGAGAAGTCCTTCACCGTCGTTTACATCCCTCCGTGAGAAGGCGACTGTGAGCTGATGTTTCAGTGTATGCCATAAAAAGCCAAGGAATGTTTGCCTCTGATGCCTAAGGTGAAGCTACAGTGTCCTGGAAAAAATACACAGGAACGCTGCGGAGCACACAACCAAGATGGACTGACACACTCCACACCCGGCTCGCATCTGTTAAAAATATTTAGGCGTATTTATCTCCATGGCTCTGAAAGCAAAGGACGTCACAGCAGTTGTATCCAGTATGGACAGGGCAGTTAGCAATGTGCTGGTTTATTTACCCAGAGCATTTTATTTTTATGGGAAAAGTCATCTTCAAGTAGGCGAACACAGGATTGGAAAAGGCATTTTCAAAAATCCATAAATATAATTTTTGGCTACATGCTTGCTAGCTCCCCTCCCAATGTAATAGAAAAAGCCACGTCTTTATAATTGGCACTTGACATGCTGTTTGCGTTGGGCTGTGGCACACCAAGCACAGATTTCCTGTTGATGGAAACATTTATCATCCTGATTGCCCCAGAGTGGCAGGTGGTGTTATCAATTACCTCTTCTTACCAATAATAATATTAGTATGGTAATATCTTTGCTCAAGTGAGAACCAATTAGCAGTCACTTGTCACAGCATTAAAGGCACAAAATCATGCTGGATTTAACCCTAAGAACCTAAAACAAAAGTTGGGGGTGGGGGAGGAACCAGAGAGAGGGAGAGAGGTGGCCAGATAAAAGAAAGGAACTTTGGGTGGGGGTGGGGAGGAGGAGTGAAAGAAGACAGAAAATGAAAGGCCTCATATTTGAATACTTTTTTTTTTCATTAAGTGGTTGGGGAAAATAAACACTTGTAAACAAAGCCTCAAAAACACCTTAGGTAAAGCTAGCTTCTGTGAATCTGGAGACAGGTAGCTTCCATAAACTGTGACTGTGATGGTAAATTAGAACCAACTATTCAACTTCCAATCAATCTTGCAGATAGGCTTTGTTTTATTTGAATAAATGATACAGATTGAACCAAACGCCTAATTATACGTTTCACTAATGTAAAATATACAGCATTAATTTGTAAATAATATTAGACAGACAAAATAATAATGTGTCACCTCTTAAGATAAAAACAACATTGCAAGAGGAAAGACAATTAACAAATTAGATTTAATTACAGGGAAGAAAAGCAACTTTTGTTTTTCCGAGCGTTTAGGTATGACAATATTAATAGACAGTGGTCATGTGGTGACGCGTGTGCCCCACTCCCTGCGAGTCTGCACAGCACAGGCACACTTCCCAGCGTCCCTTTAATATGGGCACGACCAGAGCGCACATCCTGCCTCATCTGTGAGCACAGTCCATGGACACGTTGTCACTTCGCAATGTATCTATGGTTGCAACTCAGGTTTATGATACAAGCGCTTTTATTAAGTTGCCGCACTGAATAAGAGCAATTAAAGAAAAGTTTCTGATCTGAGTGCAGAGAAGGAAAACAGGGAGGAACAAGCCAGTCAAGAAGTCGCACGCCTTTTGTTTTCTACCTTTGCTTTGAAATAAAAAGTTGATCCTGTTCACTTAGGCCAATTTTAAAAAGGGTGCGTCGCAGAAATTACTCGTGCGCACCACTTCAGCTGTGGGGACGTTCGCACCGGTTTCCGCTGCACACGCAGCCTCCCAGGCCCTCTCCTCCAAGGCTTTGCCGGATCTTCCAACGAAATCCCAGAGCACAGCCTGCGCTGGGGAGCCCGCAACTCTCCGGTTCTCTGCACCCCTAGCCGCCCGGAACCTGGGACAGCGCCCACGCCGGGCTGGGCCAAAGGCAGAGCTCGCACCCTGCCTTCATGCCCGGTTCACTTGCGTCCACGGAAGCGCCGCGCCAGCCTTCTCCATCTTCCCACTCGCGCATGACACGGCGACCCGCGCGACACTTCTGCAATCTGAAGGCTTGCTTCTTACAAATAAAGGGCCAGAGCCTCATACTTGCCTTCGTTGGAGGGACTTAGGAGATCCTCCCACGTCCACACCTTGTAGGAAATGCAAAACATATCGATGACATTAAACAGTTGCGTTTGGAAGCCCCAGAAAGACCTCAGGAAATCCTGCAAGTTTGTTGGAGAGAGGGGTGCGGGACAGGGGGAGCGGGCCTTACGCCACAGAAGGTGGGCGCAGCGCGCTTAAAATGACCCACGGAGGAGTTGGTGGCGCCGGGCCCAGAGGCTGCGTGGACTTGCTCCACAGGCGTCAGACGCCGTGGGAACCTCAGTCTGCTTCTTTTCCCCAAAGTGTGTCGGTTAAAAAAAAAAATAGAATAAGTAGTAGCAGCGGTAAGGAAGAAAAAAGAGGGAGTGACACAATTAACCAGGTCATGAAAGCTAGGATACCTTCAACCCCGTCTCTGGCCCACCAGCGGTCGTTCTGCGTTCTTCCTCTCCTCGAAAACAGTCTCAGACCCCTGCCTTTCCGCTGCGGCTCTGCGACTTCCCCAAACTCTTTAATCCTGTAAATTCTGCCAGAAACTCGCATTCTCCAGGCTGCTTTCCCGCCTCCCCCCTGCGTTCCTTTTTTTCTCTCCCCACCCGCAACGTCTCTCTTTGCCCCTCTTTTCTCAGAAAAATTCCTGCACTCGCCCCCACTCCGCGCGCCCTAAAGCCCGGGCTGCAAACTTTTCCCCGCCGGGCGTCTCTGCGCCAGATGCCAGAGCATCCCCCCAAAGCCTGAGCATCTGCAAAAGTTCGCAGCCTAACGGCGAGATAAAGAGATTTCCCCCGCAGCTTAACTAGAAAAGCGCCTTCGATGTGTGTGTTAAACCGAATAACTCGAGATTTCAAACATCTTTTATTTGTCTGTCTTGAAAAAAAAATAACTCAAATGAATACGCCTGCCACCAAAAGGCAAAATGAAACCAACCTTAAGGGTGTTTGGGTTTTTCTTTTTTTTTTTTTTTTTTTTTTTTTTTTTCCAAAAGTTGCGATGGGGGCTGTTTGGAGATGACCCCAACCTGCGCCCTCCCTTCCTCTGAGACTCTCCAGCGCTTTTCCTGGAACCCAAAGCTCTGACTTCGTCAAACTTACACAATTAAAGGCGGCGGGAGAACGCGGGCTAGGAAGCAAGCGGGAAGATTCTAGAATGGAAGGCAGCCCGCCGAGCGCGGCCAACCGCGCCAGGCCGGGGTCCGATGGAGCAGGCGGGGATTCCTACCCTAGGCGGACCCCTGCCACCAGCCCTGCCTGGAGCTCTCGGCCCTCGGAACGCCCCGGGCCGGCCGCTCGCCGCCGCCTTCCCCCAGAGAACGACTCGGGAAGCTCCAGGAGGCCATCTGTGCTGACGCTTCGCACCAGTCAGGGCCACTTGCAAGGACAAAAATCAGAAATTTAGGAAATGAAAAAAGGCGCACTAAGGCGAGGAGCACTGGCGCGGGAGCGGCGGCGACCGGGCCTGGGACACATCCTGGCGGCCGCTAGAGAAGGGAGGACACGGGCGGGAGAGCGCGCAGCGGGTGCACGGCCGCGGGTGGGAGTGCACGCCTGTGCACGCGGGGCGAGGGCGCGTGCGTGCGACCGCGGGCGAGGGGGCGAGGGGGCGAGGGGGCGAGGGGGCGAGGGGGCGAGGGGGCGAGGGGGCGGGCGGGGGACGCGCCGCGCCAGCAGCCCCGGGGTGTGGGGCAGATCCGAAAGTGCGCAACCCCCTCACCTGGCCCCCAGGTCATCCCTGAAATCCCAGGGACACGGTGGGCCGCGCGCGGGACTTTGGCGGAGTTGGAACTTTCGCTCGCGCTCGCTGCCCACTCCGCGGGCACCCGGGCCACCGCGCCCGTGGCGATGAGGCACTGGGGTGGACACCGGGGCCCTGCGGTCCCCTCCCTTTCCTGCATTTAAGAGGCCGCCGCCGGAGGAGAGGAGAGGCCCCGGCGGGCTGGCGCGGGGGCGAGGCTGCCCCGGTGGCGGTGGCGGGCGGGGCGGGCGCTCCGGAGTCGGTGGGGCCCGCGGGTTGGGGGGCGGGGAGAGGGGGGAGCGGAGGGGAGGGGGCACGCGGGGGAGGGAGGGAGAGGAGGGAGGAGCCGCGCGGCCCGCGCCGCTTCCGAACCGGAAAGTTGGTCTTGCCGAAGTCCTGCCACCGCGGCGTGCGCACTCCGCTCTGCTCCGGCCGCGAGGCTCCGAGCCGGGCCGGCCGCCTGGGGAGCCCGCGGAGGGGACGCGGGGCCGGGCGAGAAGGTCCGGAGAGCCGGGGGCACCTGAGCCCGAGCGAGGCCGCTGCGCCGAGCGGCGCCGACAGCCGCGGCGGAGCAGCGGAGGCGGCCGGCGGACCCCGCGCGTCCGTAGCGGGAGGCGCCCGAGCGGCCGGGCCGAGACAAAGGCGCCGGGCCGGAGCCCTGCCCGCGGCCGCTCGCTCCGGGAGGGGCTGCCGGGCGGCGGCGGGGGGGCGCGGCGCGGGGCGCGGGCGGCGGCGCAGACACTCTATAAAGGGGCGAGCCCGGCGCGCCGGCGGAGACGGCGCCGCGCGGACGCCGCCAAAGTTTGCCGCTTGCGCCCTGCGGAGCGGCGGCCACCGCGGCCCGCGCCGTACCCGGGCCCGCCGGAGCCGCAGCGGGGGCGGCCGAGGAGCGCGGCGCCGGAGCCCGCGATGTGAGGCGGCGCCGGGCAGCGCGCGCCCCGGTCGGTCCCGAGGCGCCGCGGCCCCTCCTCGCCGGCGCGGCCGCTAATTGCGAGCGCGGCCTCATTTGCATAGGCCGCCGGAGTCCGCTGGAGGCCGGCCAATCCGCGCGGCCCTGGGCTAATGGCCATGCATTATTCACCAGCCTAATTGCTCAGCCCCATGCGCGGCCCGCGCAGCCGCCGCCGCCGCCGCCGCCGCCCCGCGCCCCGCGCCCCGCGCCCGCCCGGCCGTCCCGCGCCCGCCCCGCGCCGTCTCCGCCGGCCGCCCCGCTGATGTCGCTGCCCCGCGCGGGGCCTGAGCGCCGCTAGCAGCATGTCCCGGCGCAAGCAGGCCAAGCCCCAGCACCTCAAGTCGGACGAGGAGCTGCCGCCGCCGGACGGGGCTCCCGAGCACGGTGAGGGCCGGGGCTCCGGGGTGGCCGGGGGTCTGGGGCTGCCTGCCCGGGCTGGGGAAGCGCGTGCGGCGGGAGCGGCCGCGCGCGTGCGTCCGAGCGCGGGAGAAAGTTCCCCGGTTCCCGCGAGCGAGTGTCCTCCCCGCGCCAGGCCGGCCGCGGGGACCCGTGTGCTTCGGCAGAGCGCGCGCGGCCGCGGAGAGAGTTGTGGGCGAAGTAAACTTGGCTCCTCTCCTCCGAGTTGGGGAGCTGCGCGCGGAGGGCGCCGAGGCCGCGGTCGGCTCGAGGACTGCGCGGAGCCCGCGCGGCCCCGGGCGGAGGCCGGGGCGGGAGGGAGACCACGGCGCCTCAGTCTCCGCGCCGCTCCGCGGGGTCTTTGCACCCGGACGCTGGGGCCGGCTTCGGCGACCCCGAGGCGAGCGCGGCGGCGGGGAAGGCCACCGGAGCCCACCTACCGCTGGACGCGGGCCGGGGACCCCGCCGCCTGCCCGGCCAGCTTTGTTCGGCGCCGCAGGTCCCAGGGGCCCCACGCCACCTCTCCGGCCCCGCCTGCGCCCCCGGCCCCCCGCACCGCCGGCCTCGGGTGACCCGCGCGTCGCAGCGCGTGGACGCATCCTATGATCGCGTTACGAGGCGAGGGGAAGGTCGGGGTCTCGGCCCTGCCTAATGGCCGCCTGGGGGATTAGGCTGGGGTGAGCGCGGCGGCGGCCTGGGGCCTGCCCTCTGCACGCGGCAGAACCCCCGTGTTTCCGGGGCGTTGCAGGCTCTGCGCGGGCCTTCTCCCGTCTCTCTGGATCCACCGAGGCCGGGCGCTGGAGACGCCTTTGCAGTCGTTTCGCTGCTAGGCGCTTCCTCCTTGAAACCTCTAAAAGCGAAGGGCAGGCGCCGCGCAAGTTAGAGGCCGGCGGAGGGCCGGGCTTCCCAGAGCGGCACCTTAGCCCCGCCGAGTTTGGGGTGCCCCCGGGCCCCTTGGTCGAGTTAAAACCTCAGGCCGCGGCCCCAGGCTTCGGCGCGCCCCGCAGGGCCCCCAGGGCGCCAGGAAGGAGGGCCGAGGAGGGCGGCGCCGCGCCCCCGAGCCTGCAGCACAGCTCGCACGTAAAATAATTTGTTCCTTAGGAAAATAGGCAGGCCAACTTTTATGATTGACCCATTACAAGTTGCAGGAGGCAGATGGTGATCTTTTTACCCTGAGAATGAGACTGTCTGCGAAAAGGAAACGGGGCGGAAGAGTTTCCCACACAGTGGAGGAAAGTTTGACAAAGCAGGTAGACACCCATGTCGGATGAGAACGAGAGAGCATGCTTGTGACGCGGCTGGGGAATTAATGAATTAAATAAAATGAGTGAGCTTGCTGGGGGCTTTTTGTTGCCGTGGAGGTAAGGGAGTCTTATCTGCGTAGCCAAGTCAGCCAAGATTAGAACAGGCGATATGCTAAAAAGAAACGCTTGCATATGGTGGGTAGATTAAGGACAAAGAATCTTTTTGTCATGGAAATGGATTTTTTTTTGTTTTGTTTACTTCATCACATAGAATTTCTCACACTTGGTTTGTTTTGTATCGCCCTCAATGACTACATGATCAAATGAATGGATTTATTTCTGCCGAATGAGAAAGACAGTCTTTCCTTCAAAAGAACTACATTGCATCCCAGTGAGGAATTTTAAAGCTTTATTATTGTGGCTCCTGAATAGCTTAAAATCGGCTTTCACAGCCGCCCCAAAATGCAACAATGTAAATACTTCTCAGCTTTGTAGGGTCGTTATCAAAATGTGCAGTGTCTCCTTTTATTAAAGCATATTTTAATTAATAGAGTAAAACCCCTTGTATTTAACAATTAACAAGCTGAGGCGCTGCTATTCATTTTTAATTTCACTTCAGAAATGTGAGCATGCTGAACTTAATAGTGTAAACATGTAGAGGGCTATATCGCCTATATTTGAAAGCCTAAGATGGGATAAATTATTCACAAGTTCTATTTTGAATTCCTCTTGTGGCTGCTCGAATTTATTTAGACATGCAAAATATTCAGGTATTTCACCCATGGTAGAATTAAAGTTCTTCTCAAGCCTGTGTTTTTCACAGCATCCAGAGTTGTAATCCAGACGTTGCCACAGTTGCTGGTCACATTTTGCAACAGGCCCAAAATACACTGGGACTGAGTCTTGGCCGAGCTGTTTCCACACTTGAGGATAGTTTAGGCAAACTATTTTTTTAAGTTCTCTCTCATTTAATTATTTCCAAGCAGATTGTCCATGGAGCACAACAGACACTCTGTTCACTGTTAAGGAATGCCCCATTTCTGTGTTACCCAGTCGCACTCAGCATCGTTCCTCAGATGACTAAGTAAAAATGTTTTTAAAATAAATAGGTGTGGAAACCAAATTATTCCAACGTGAATCAGATCGTCTCAAAATTGTAATTTTGTTAAATGCGATGGAAATAAACAGACCATGCCGGAAGTTACAAGTTAGCTCAGTCACTTTACAATGTTTTAGAAACGAAGTAAATCATTCCTTTGTATCACTCGGGGAGTGACATATTAATTAAAGCAGCAGGTCCATCTACAAGCAGTAAAATGGAAAGCTATTGATAATGTCATGCAGAGCAAATATTATATGCAAAAATGTTTAGTATAATGGGGGACATGCACAGTCACATTAATTTATAGCACAAAGCCTGTGTTTCTTAAAAAAGAATTATGATTTATTTTTGAAGCAATGAAAAGATTCTATACAAAAATGACTGGTGCTACCCAAACCTTATCACTGCAGGAATGAAACACGATGACGTGTCTAGAATCAGAAAAAGTAAGGATAATTTATGTAAAGTTCTAAAGTCATCCTTTTGTAAAAAATATGCACATACTTATTATTAAGAGTCATTGAGACATTCCTAGCAGAAGATGTCTTTCATTACTTCCTTGCCAACTGTCTCACTCCTCTTTTCGAGGAAAAGGTGCTGCAGCTTTGGGGTCCAGTTAACTTTACGCCACTAGTAATCTTTTGAGGCAGCTGAGTATTTTTGCTCTAAGAAAAATTAATTAAAACTTCCAATCACAGTTAAAACTTTAAAAAGATACAATATTGCTATTTCTTGTGTAAAACAATTTAAGAAAGATACGTTTTATTGTTGTTAGAAAATACATATTTAAGAAGGAACAAAAGGATATTGTAATTTAAAACCATTGACCTACCATCCTGTATTTTGTTTGTTAGCACTCATTGCTTCAAAGTGTTTTTATTTTCTGCCAACTTAGAAGTATAAAGTCCTTTTAAATGTGGTGAGTATGTGATTTGAGAATTTACCAGTGGTATTCACAGACTGTGTCTGAATGAAGGGAAAGGCTCGGCCACCAGTGCTTGGCTCAGGACCCTTTTCTTTTATCTGTATGTGCATGGTTTGCCCTCGGTGCTCACATTTACAACTCAGCATACCAAAAGGAACAATGCAGGAGCCCCTTTCTAACATTCACAGGCAGATTGCTTTCTCTGAAACATGAAAGGTAAAAAGTAAGTAACCGGGTTGGGTGGTGGGAGACGAAAAGAAGATTTTGCAAACATTTCTTTGAAAAACAATGTTAAAAAAACGTAACCTATTTTAAAAATGCACATTTCTGTGATCAACAAAAAAGCTTGCCAATTAATTCCCACCTTACAGAGAGAGAGCTGATTATGTAACAGAGTTAGGGAATTTTATGTGCAATCCATTTTAAACTTCCATGGCATATGCATTATCCGGTATTTTTAGATCCGTTGTTCAAAGCCAGAAAGAGAAAAAGGTATAGAGTAACAGCAGGAGTTACTTAGCAAGCTGGTTATTTTTTGTATACAAGATGACGGCAAAAGTGGGTCAGATTTCATTCTGCAATCTCTAAAAAGCTATACCATTCATCTCCAGGTAGCCCTAAGAACATTTTCTTTTGGGGGTAATTCAGCAAAAGTACAACCAGGGTTTCTACTCTGCGCTGACCATTAGTTAGAATTTAGCATTCTTAAAAGGATTGCCACCGGCGTTTATTTAGGTACAATAAAAATCGTTTTTACTTCTAATGAGGTTATGCACCATCTTTGAATGCTACGAGATAGTTTCAAGAAGCTTAATTTTTAAACGATAACAGGAAGGATGTTTTGTTTTTATTAGTTTTTATTTTCCTGCATGATTCGTGGACTAGTTGCCAGAAGAAGCCCCACATGTTTTAGTCTCGTGGTGACGTGAGCGGAGCCGCTGCTGCAGGGAAGTGTTTGTAGTCACAGCACACCTCCGTCGCTGCGTGTCTCACACACGATCAAACGTAAAATGCAGGTAAAAATTGAGCAATCTAATATTCCAAGCAAAGTTTTATTTAAAAAAAAGCCTGTCTCGGAGTCTCTCTCATGTAATTTCAACACATTTATGACTTAAAATGCAGCTAACTGATTTCCAAGCAAACCAGGCCAGTCATGTTCCAGAAAGTATCAAATATTAATTGTAGGAAAATAATGGAATGGTCTCTATGTTAAAGATGAAGATTGATTTGTTTCTTAATTGAAAAGGGAAGAGTTCTTGAGACAGAGACACTGTCCACCGAGGGGACCGGATAATGCCAGTGTGCTGTCTAAATATTTTCCTCTGCGGGCCTGTCTTTTTCAATCACCTTCAGATTAGTTATGCTTACTATCTAAAACCCCTGCCCCCTTTGCATTCTCTGAGAGCATTAGCAGCCAGTTCGGCGCAGAAAGCCTTTTTGTCTGAAGTCTGAAAAGGTGGGGCTGCAGAGTGCTGGCCAGCTTCCGACCGTCTCTCCCTGAAGGTGGGTAGTTAGAAGTGCTTTGACAAGCCTTGCTGATTTAACCTTTGCCTGCTTTGCCCTGCCAGGGGTGGCCGCTAGATGTCAAGCTCATAATACAATTAGTGCATCTGTGCTGTTGACCTTGGCAACAGGGCTCACCACTGTTCTGTTAAGTGTTAACACTGAATCTGAGTGTTAACTAGAGCTCCCGCGAGCTTGCGCCGTGCTGCACAGC